ATATATATATATTTCTTCTCTTATTTTCTGTGCTTGAGCTGTATTTCTAAAATCAGTCCTCTGGCAGAGGACATAGTTCTCTGGTAGTGCACTGGCCTAACGTGTAAGGGGCCTCGGATCTGATCTCAGAACCGAAATTAATCATCTGCTTGACTTCTCAGCCATACACATTTTTAGAGAAAGATGAAAGACTTGATTTTTCCATAGATAAAAAGACAGTGAGCAAGTCCCTGTTCATATCTATACACCTTGCTTCTTATGTCAACAAACTAGGTACCTCAAGTTAATTATCTCTTTGATTTTGTGTCAGTCAATTGGATGATCATTGAAACGTGGAACCTAAGCCCCTAAAATGGCCCAGGAAGTATTTCAGCACACAAAATTTCTCCTTCCAATCTTGTATTCATATATCGAGTAGATATTTTACAAATATAGATTTTTTCCAATGAAAGATCTTCTTTCATTCACTCAAGTATTTGAGTAGGAAGTATGTGCCAAAAGCTCTTGAAATGCCTAAAGTCTATACAAAGACAAGCACACATAAACTGACAAACTGTAATACATAAATAATTCAAATGATATTGGTATGAATAAAATGTTGCAAGATTCCAGAAAAGCTGAATGGGTAGATACATGACACAAGTAACAGAACGTGAAGAGAGAGAATAAAAAAAAGATTTTCTTTTTATCAGTGTTTCCCTCTCAATAGCGCAATGGAGCTAATTACTTCCGAACTGTCTTGCCAGCCAGCACAGTCCTTCCAGGAAGTGTGCCACAGACTTAAACTACCCATTTGCATATCTTATACCCATCTGTGGAAATGTCAACTGTACAGGGAGCCAGGGGGAAAGCAAAGGATTTGCAGGAATCAGGAATCTGCAGTTCTTCCACAACTCATTGGTGAGAAAATGGCCTGAGTTTTTCACTTTGGCCTCAACATTTAAAGTCCATATAAGGAAAGGTCAATCCTTTCATCAATACATGAAGGTAGAGGAAAAATTCTTCTATAGAAGGGATTATAGCAAAACTAAAGTGAGATACATGAGAAAGGCCGAAGAGGCAAGACCATGAGTGGGAATTATCTGGACGTGTGAATCAGTAACCTATGTCCCATGTAAAGTAAAGGGGAAATAGGCAAAAAAATGTCCTCAGTTTTCTAACATGGACCTGAAAGTCTTTCTTCAGTAAGAAAAGAAGTCATTAAGCTCTTATTTAAAAATGAGATATCTGACCAACCCCAGGCCCTGTGAGTGTGGGGGAGAGCTTCTGCTCTGTCCTGCGCCAGCCCACAGCTCCAGGCCCAGGCCGCTGCGACAGAGAGGCACTTCCCTGCATTCCCCAGACCTCCCCCCACCTGGCCAGACCCAGTGCAGCCCACCCTCTGAGTGAGAACTTCCCCCAAGCCTTGGGCCCTCCATATCTGACCAACCCCAGGCCCTGCGAGTGTGAGGGAGAGCTTCTGCTCTGTCCTGTGCCCACCTGCCACTCCAAGCTCAGGCCCTCTGCGTAAGAGGCCTTTGCCCTTGTTATTCAGACCTCTCCTGGCTGGCTGGCCAGACCCAGCGCAGCCTGCCATCTGAGTAAGAACTTCTGCTGCGCTCTTGGGAGTCCTGCAGACCCACCAAAACACAACACTGGTGAGTGTGTG